TTGTGCTTTGATGAATAAGTAACTTAACATGTTGTGTTGATTAATTTTCATATGTTTTTCACGTAAATTTGATAAAAATCATAACTCTTGCAAAAGTTTACAAAATTTTTGCAGTGTTACATAATTGATAACTTGTGTCTCAATCTTCTAAACATGAATCAAACCTTCAAAATGTATTTCATAAACCAAATTTTTTTATATCAATTCATGAATTTAATTCATTCTTATTTCCAAAATACTTCATGAATTTTAGATCGGACAACATAATCTACATAAACATATATGATTAATATTTTATATTAAATGCAATTGACTTTCTTGCAATTTGTTGTAGAGCTGAAATTGTGAATCTTTCTTATTCTTCCAACAATAAAATACATATTGATATGAATGTACTTATCATAGAATGAATCAAAAATTTGATTATGATTTCATAAATCCTCATCAAAATTCAAACTTTGTTTAAATTTTGAACATCAGATGCATTGAAAAGACATTGAAATAGTTGCACATTGAGATTAAATCAAAAAATCAGAATGCACACGTATACTTAAAACAGAATAGATTTTGTTCAAAATTATTGATTATGTTGACAAAAAAATCTAAAATTTAGTTCTAAAAATTTTTTATTGTGTTAGCAAGAGCTTTTACAAACTGTATTATATATTGACAGATTAATTATAATTAAAGTAATCAAAGTTAAATGCAAATGTCAATTTCAATTATATGTAACATGTTTTACCAATCTCATATTTTGAAGGCTTTAATATACTTGACATATGTAATTTAAAGCTAATTGAAACAAAGTTGAAACACAAACATAATCAAACAACACATTGAGTGTGCACACAACACATCTTATTCAACACTAGTTGGATGAGTTTTTCAAAATCAATGTATTGTTGCGTAGTATAATCATGACAATATTTGTCATGATTGTTACGTTGTAAAAATCATGACAAATAATGAGTCAAATTACTTTAGCAAATACATATTTTTCAACATCAGTTGGTCGAGTTTTTTTAACATTGTGTTGCATAGTATAAATCATGATAAATAATCTTTTTCGATAATTTTTGAAAATATTTCTCACATAACCATCCTTCATTATTTGTGTATAGATATTTCAATTTATCTCAAGCTTAATTCTTAAATTTTAGAAATTAAATTGATATCAGATTTTGGTATGAAAAATAAATTTGAAATTATCATTAATAAAAATATATGATGTTCTTTTAAAGATGAGTCTTTAAAATTTGATTTCCAAGAGTCATTATTTACATACTTAAATATCTTTATGAAGCTATGAGTTGAACATCAAATGCTTTTTACTCTTATCTTTTTCATCACCTAATGTTTCTTATCCACTAAGTTAAATTTTCACATATCAATTACCAGCTCATGTTGCCAAGGGTATCAAATACTTGTTATCATAATGAGATCTATGTGAAAAAATTAACTCTAACTATAATCTCATAATTTAAAATACCAAACAGAAACAACATCAATTCAAAATATAATAAAATGGACTTTATTAAATTCAATATTTTACTTTAGCATGTATAATTTATTATTATTATTTTTTTAACATAATCATAATCTCATTTCAAACATTTTTTTTTGAGATCTTCCATTCAATTATTTTTGAATCTTATATTCCAAATCGAGTGTAAACTAATTTTACATGGACTGTTAGATAGAAGTTGGATCTTTTATCATATATCAATCTTATATTTATTCTAAAATGTAAAAAATGTAATATAAAATATCATTATATAAATTTCATACATCATCATTTTCTTAGATGGATTATATGAAGCATAAATTTGACACTATAAAATAGTGTCACAAACTAATATAGTATTTTTGAATTTCATTTGACAATTATTTTTGACTTGATCATTTTTGCAACATATACAAATATTTGGTATTTTAAGAACTAATATTTGCACTTGAATATAACTCTGGACTTAAAATTTGTTTCATCATTGTAATGATGAAACAAATTATATGATTATATTTGAAACTAATTTAAAGACTTCCTAGATGTAGAGAATGAAAAGTGTAAGTTATAAGTCTACAAAACACTTATAAGTTTGGTGTAGATAATTGTTTACCTGGCATGACGAAACAATACGCATGAAAATGATTGACAAGAAAAAAATTAATAATTTAAAAAGATGAATTATCATTTTTCCATCATTAATTTTTTCTAACATTATGAAAATTAAGAACAAGACCACCAAAACCATCTATGTGATCTTGTATTCGTATATCATAATCTTTCATCTATAATCACTTTAGTATAAAAAAATAGAACTTATATGATGAATCTTTGCAATAAAATTGACTCACAAATTTTCAACAATAAAATATAATAATAATATTCATTCATTTATTTCATGTAAAGATTTTTTAATTTAATATACAAATATTTACAACTTATGTTTTAAGATACTTCTGATTGTTGAAGATGAAGATTTTAGATATCAACATATATCCAAACTTGTTATCTTTAGTTTGAATTTAAATTTACTATTTCAAAACAGATTGTTCATCGAATTTTATTTATGCTATATCTACTACTTCAAAATTCTATCAAATCCTAGATGTACTTTTTTTTGCATAATCTGTGCATAAAACTATTCTATTCATTCATAAAACCAATCCTTGAAATAAAATTTTTGTTCTTCTTGTAAACTTTGTGAAATTTTGATTTATCATTATGACTAGTGTCACAACATTAACAATCTTTTTCTATTATCACTGCTAGAATGTTTATGTTTGAATCAAAAATAATTATTTGCATCCAAATATTGCTATTTACTTTAATTTGAACATTGCAAACACAAAATAAACTTTACACAACTCACTTCATCAACAATTCCAGTATTAGAAAGATTAGTTTTTTAAAAAATCAAGCTTTCAACAATTATTCACTTAGTGTGATCTAGATATTTACTAAGACTTTTGGACGTACTGATTTCATATTATATGGTTTACATTTAATTCATCATGATTCTAGAAGGTTTTTATCTCACCTACATACCCATGTTTTAACATATTTTCACCAAAACTTCAACTGAACAATAGCACAAATTGTTACATATACCCTAATATCATTTTTATATCCAAAATTTTTTTGATGAAAAAAATAATCTCACAACTCATTTTATTACTGATTGAGATTCTATTATGCAAGTCTTTATTTACAGTTTTTCAATAATTATCACAGTAAAGCATGATAATTACTGCATAACTTACTTTCACTAAGATTGATCTTGGTAGATTTGACTAATTTCATAAAAATTATTATTTTTTAACATGTTAATAGACTTTGATAACATGTTAATTTTGATTAGTAAACATAAATCTAAGTTTGATTCAATCTAACTATTGAATTTTTAACTCCCTCATGTTAATACTAAAATTACTCTACTTTCATACTTTTCAACTATGAAAGTAATAAAAATTTTTAAAAGAAGTTTTATTTTAGAATTTTGTATCTAATTTTATCAAAAAGATTATCCAATCATTTTGCTTAGATGATTTCAACTTCAATTAATAATTGTGATATCTTATGAATAACTATTGTACTTTCATTCATTCGTATCATGATCATAGCTCGAGAATTATACAATTGCATCAAGAGTTGATGATTTCTAATACTTTTAATTTCTTCAATTTTTGTTGCATCGTCTTAAAAATAATTAAATCAAATTATCAATCAAATATCATAGATTTATTGATTTATTTTCTCATCACATAATTGAAACTAAGATGTCAAATTTTTACTAAAAACAATTGTATGTCATGATTAACAACTTTTAACATCAAAAATTCAATTAGAACTTTAACATTTAATGTCTAAAGTTGAAAAATTCAAAATCAATGAAATGAGCTTGCTTATTCCATACAAAATCAACGTCAACTAGATAAAATAAGATATCAGTAAATCAAGTAAAACAACTTCAGCATTTTAAAATTATGAAAATTTTAATCACGAATTTAGTTTTGAGTTATTCAAGTAATATAATCTACTTGGAACATTCTTAAAAATGATTAGATTCACATAAGGATTAGATTTGTTACATGTCAAGTTCAATAACTACACCAGTATAACATTTAATTCAAAATGTGTACTTCAAATTTTCTAACGGGTTGCTGGCCCTCGGATCCCATCCAGCGACCTATGTTGACTACGCTATGATGGTTGCAAAATATCGTCATTCATGTGAGAGCATCGATCCAGGTTTTGTGAGTATAACTTGAGAGGAAGAAATACTTTCTTCCTCTCAATTTAAAATTTAATATTCGTTTTCAGATAACTCAACTTGAAAACTTTACAAAATAAATTATCTACTATTAAACTGTCGGAGTTTGCATGCGATTGTGCATATTTGACTTTTGTGCACATCTGCACTTTGGCTACCTAATTGCTCAGAGTTTCCGCCTAGATTCAACTCTGACTCTTACATCCATGTAAAGGTCATACTTTCTTGTCATGAGTTCTTAATCATTTTTGTAGTTGGACATTTAGATCCATTGGCTGGTATTGAGATGCAATGAAAGGGTCTTCGATCCAACATTTGGAGCACATTTAGCAAGCTTAGATCTATGGTCGTGTCTCATTCCATGGAGTTATTATTTACATGAAAAGCATCAATATACCTTCAGCAATACAATAGTTGCCACAAACTTCACTTGTAAGGATTTGGTATCGACTTACATTTGGAATCTGATCCCGCAACTTAACCAAATAATGCACTGAGTCCTCATCACTTGACTAACGGTTAGTGCGGTGTTATCCTCGGAACTGAAACGAATGTGATGGGCAAATTCACGGATCAGTCAAAAGTTAGGGCTCTTCAGCTCCTCACCCCAAAATCTCACCGGTCCCGAAAATGGCGGAGTTAGCTAAAGCCTTGTTAAGAGAGATGCGAGCCGATAACGAGCTAGTAACCGGCATTCGGGAAGCGCAGAGAAACTTCCCCCTGGCTTTAGCGAGCAGGATAGACTTTGCCTGTTATCGTCAGCCGGTTCTGTGCCACGAGTGCATTGAATTCTGGAGAGAGATTATCACCAGCTCCACATTCACGAAGATGCAAGATCCGTAGTTTGGGTAGTGACGCGAGGGAAGGAGGGAGCTCAATAAGAGACTTGGTTTTTTCAAGTTCGAGCTCCTCGAGGTCTGTAAACACGCTCCAGTCGAAAAATTCGTCCAGTTTCTTCAGCTGAAAACATAAACTTAGACTTATATACTGCAGCTTTATCAGGGAACTCAAGGTCGGTGGCAATTCCTTCATCTGAGCCCATCCGCTCATTCTCAAGATCCGTAAAGCGGGCATAGCACCCGATCGTAGCACTGGAAATTCGTCCATCGATACCTCTTCACAAGCGTACATGTCCAGCTCTGTGAGAGATGGAAATCCATCTGGTCGACCAAAAGAGTTTGGTAGTTGCTTGATGTGTCGACAGCCAGATATATCAAGACACTCGAGGTTTGGAAGCTCATCAAGAGCAGGAAGATGTTTCAAGGAAGAGCAGCTCTTGAGATCTAGCCGTCTGAGCTCTGGCAGTGACTCGACTCCAAGTGGAAGGCTCAAGAGGTCTTCGCACCTGCTTAGAACTAATGTTTGCAGGGCAGTGAGATTTGAAATGTCAGGAAGAGAGCTAACTCGGATGAAGTTGACTTGCAGATGCCGGAGGCTCTTAAGGCAACTAAGCTGGAGAGGGAACGGGTATGACGGTCCAGGGAGAATGGAAAGGTTGCTGATTTTCAACGTTGTCAAAGATGTCAGCGAGGCTACATCCTGGAGAATAGCGGCAGGCTGAATGCGGATCAACCTCAACAAAGCACCTGTGATGCTCTTGGAACTGGCCCCTCCATTCCACACGTAAGTGTCGGAAAGGTTAAGATTTTCTAGTTTTCTGAGACCCTTGATGGCTCTAGGCAACGAAACCAACCTTTTGCAATTATCTATTTGAAGATCCCGAAGTTCTTCCAACTCCTCAATAGTACTCGCTACTCTCTCAAGCTGTGCGCAATATGAGAGCTTAAGAAGAACCAGGCGTTTCATAGTGCTAAAGGCTGCGTCGGGTATCTGTTGAATCCTTGTACGGCTGAGATCCAGTACCCTCAGTTGCTTCAAGTTCAGAAAGAATCCTCGAGGCAGCAACGATAGATTCTCGTTACTTCTCAGAAGCAGCACTTGGAGCTCAGGGGCAGCCAGATGAGACGGTAGCTCCTGTATCAGATTATTCATCAACGACAATCTTTTTGCTGAAAGATGCTTTATCTCGACTTCGTCGTCAGGAATCCACTCTTGCGGAAATGTCGTCAACTGCCTCCCCGGTTCATACAGACAGACCCGCTCATGTACCACCTTGTCGTGTTGCAGGTTGTACCGAGCCAGGTCCCGAAGCACATCGTGAACTTTACAGGTCATGAATTCATGAGAAGAAGCAGCAGCAATCCCTGGGTTTTTGACTTTCAGCTCAATCAAGCATCTTGCAATGAGCCAGCCCAAAAGCTCATAAGCCTCATCCTCAGGGGGATAATCTTTCCGTCTTCCAAGTATTCCCTCTCCCACCCACAAACTGATCAGATCATCCACTAATTCGACACTTGCGTCTTCGGGATACGCAGCAAAGTAGTAGAAGCAATCTTTCAAATGACGATGCGTTTCGGACAAATCGTCAACGCTGGGTTGCAAGCGATGATAGAGTTGCATTTCATGCTCGGAGCTGAGTGTCTCGGCGTTCTTCAGCTTCTTCAACGTCAGATCCCAAATGCGCTTGTCCCTCTTGCCGGCCATCGTCCCTCCGATGACTTTCAGTGCTAAGGGAAGCCCCTTGCACTCTGCCGCCACATCCTCAGCTGGTTTGCGTAAATTTATCGGAACGTTGCTCACACCGGAAAAGGCATGCCAACAGAAAAGCCTGAAGCTATCCTCTGGTTTCAGCATGGGCACTTCAATTTTCGTAGCGTGTTTCCTGTCCAGTAAATCTTGACTGCGCGTGGTCACCAAAATTTTGCTCCCAGACGAAGATGAATGATTCACAAATGCATCAAAGACGTCCAAAATTCTCGACTTCCATACATCATCCAACACCAGCAACAGCTTCTTCCTTTGCCCTTGAAGTTGAAGTTCATGGCATACTTGCTGTGCATAGACCTCCTCGGAACTGGAGGGTGGGGGCAGGCGTGCACTTAGCATTCTCAACAGAGATCGGAGAATCTCTTTGATGTTTGGATCCCGAGCAACTGTTAACCAGAAAATCCTGTCCTCGAAATGTTGCCTCAGTGGGGGATCATTTAACAGTCTTGAGGCCAACAGGGTTTTTCCAGCACCACCCATGGACCAAAGCCCTACCCACCGACCTCCATCTTCTTCGAGGAGAATTGACCTCGCAGAGTCCAAAAGCTCATCGCCACCAAAAACCCGAGCGCTGATCTGTCGTTCAAACTGACGTTGCGGAGACGGAAATTTATCTGCAGAACTTCCGATTGCTGAACCTTGAGTCAGTGTCAAGAAGTGCTCGTCAGCTTGTCCTCTGATATCCTCAAATGCACGATCAACTGTGATGGTTCCATATGGTATGCCATAGTTGTTGGTAGGGGTGTTGACTGTCACCCGTGTGATCCGAGAGAGGTCAGCACAGTGAACTTCGTGTATCAGATCACTCTGCAATTGATTTGCGTTCTTCATGCTCTCTTGCAGATCAGCCAGTATCTTATTCTGTTCGTCAGTAGTCTCCTTTGTGTATCCCAGCTGAACCAGCGGTGCTTGCCCCACAAGATCGGTGATTCCCCTAGTCACTTCAACGAGCTTCTTCGAGGTGGATCTGTTCTTCACGATGTTCCAAGGCCTGGATCCCTGGCTGATGCACTCACGCACCACTTTATCCGCTTCTTCCAGTCGGGATCGAAGTTTCTCCAGCCACTCTGTTACAGGCGTTGACTTGTTCTGACCCTGCCCTTTTTTTGAGCTATCACATAGGAATTGCACAAGTGGTGCCAAACCCTCAAGCAGCACGAGCAATGCCTTACAATTTTTGTTACGATCCACAGCTTGCTTGACTGCATCGATCAGCCCCTGAAGCAACAGCTCGACTCCAAAGCCGATGACAACGCTTACAAGCTCAGCCATTGCAACGTAATTGTTGTAGACTGCAGCTGCTCCCTCGACATACAAAACGTATGGCCCCACACCTACAGACAACTTGCCTGGACAATGTGGTCCTCTGTAATTAGCATCTGAGTAGAACGTTGAGCTTGTAATATCGTAAATCAGCTTTTTTAAGACGACAACTTACAAATCATTCCCAAATGTGGAAAACTATCTTCCGCTAGTACTAAGATATATCTGACTATCTGATACTTGAATAAGACTACGGAAAAAGAGATAAACTTTTAATTGGAGAAACCTTTATATATATATAATTGGTTTGATTGCCACTCTTTTGCCTGTGGGATGAGAAAACCCAAGAGGTTTAGGCATGAAGCAGTTCACAAACCTGCAACGTCTAGGGTGAAATGATCGCTACTTACCACCAACATGGAATTCAACAAGCAGACAAGCGAACCGAGATTATCGCGACGGACAGTATTTCCCTGGCAATTTTTCATCCCACCTTCACGTCCTGCAAAGTATTGGACCCACAACGCCCTGAACAGAGCACGCAACACAGCCAAGTCCATGTCAGTCGGACACAATGAATGCACTTTCTGCATGCGAGGGCAGGGTCGGGGCATCTGGAAGTGAAATTCTGCTGACTGAGATCTTTGTTGCAGAGAAACGTGATTTCGTGAGAAAACGAGTAATCTTCAGATGAATCATAATCGGCGTACTCAAGAGTGACGGAGTACAGCTTTCTCTGAGTGTGGATGTTCAGCAGACGTACTTCGCATCTACAGAAGAAATCAAATTGAAATTGTCGACATTCTGATGAGGTGTGCGGGCTAAAAAGATTTCCATCAGCGAAACTAAAACAATTTCTCAATTTTATATTTTTATCCTCATCCGCGTCTCATGAGCAGGTGGTTACCTGCGTGCTGGCTTGGTGCTGTATCGGTGTCCGTCGTCTCCTGTGCATAAACTTTCCTTCCCGTTATCGCTCGTATTCCATCGACGAAGCTCACCGGGCGTGGAGGGCCATTTGAGCACGAGTGCACTCTGTTTTGGACAGGAGTGCGAATGCTCACATTGTCTGTCAGTGTCGTCCGTTGAGTTTTGAGGCAGGAGTGATGGTGTCGCCGTCATGTAAAGCCACCCCGACCGTATGCCTCCGGGCTGACGGCAGGAGCCCTTCATACGAGCACAGTTCGGGCGTCGCCGTTACTCACCCCGTTCGGCCTCGGCCCGGCTAAGTTTGTCGCTAAAGTTGAAGGTGTTAAAAGCTAAAGTTAAAGTCGAGAGTACTTGGTCTGGAGCGGAGGAGTCGACAACTCTTTGCTTTCGCGCATCTTTTGTCTCTAGTCTTCTATTCGAACCCTCGTTCTTCTTCTTGTTGTCCGCTTTCTTCATGAACCAAATGCGTGGAGAAGTGAAGATGTCAACGCTGCAGCATGCTGAGCAACGAGGAGTGATTCCGTCGATGTTATCTTTGCTGTGAATTGTGGTGGCGAATTGCTCCGGCCCATCAGTGCCGGTCAATCCTGAAGTTAAATAATGCGATGTCAAATAATTTCTCACTGAGAACGCTGTCAAACCAATTTCCGAGCACTCAATTGAAAATTCTGGTAGGCATCGAAGTGACTATTATTGTGGAAGTGTACACTTGCTTCACGATCTTTTACTTACAATTCGCGATTGGAAGCTTTAAAATTAAGCTAATGTTAAAGCAAGCCACTGATTTGCGAAATACGAAACTACTTGTATTTAAAAAATCCCAGAATACTGCACTTTTGCTTAGATGAATCCAATTATCACTAAGGATTTAGACGATCCTTGTCTTATGCTCGTGAATAATTATAACTTTTGTGAGCATGCAACCCAATCAACACTGGATAGACCATATTGTGTGGCCTGTGAGGGTGAGCTTTGACATGTACCTTCTTACGGGACAGGATTTAGTTGTCAAGACTGAAGGAAAATGTTGGTACGTTGGGGATTCATACCAATCAATCCAGTGCACAATTCATTCGTTTGGCTTTGTAACTCTTCAAAACATGTTCGTTTTACGAACCCCCAGTTTTACAATTGATGGTCTCGAGCAAGGGGGTGACAGATATCAGGGCTTTGTTGATATCTCAGCGTAAATCGCATTTCACGAACTGATAGAATGAGAACATACCAATAGAGACAAGCCTAGATCCGAATTTTAAAACACCAGTCCTCAAGTGATTAACATCAGGCATACCGAACACTAGAGAGCCCTGGATTCGATAATTACAAGAAGAGAAGTTTTTTCACTCGCATTTACGTAGCGCACTGTCTGAACTGTGTTGATGGCCTATCATCACAGCAAGAAGACTACACACGAAGCCAACAGATTGATAGGCAGGTTCAATCAGTATCCCATAATCAGAAGACATTTTGAAAATCCTACGAACGTATCCATTTTACATTCCATCAAGAATCCTTATTAACCTTCGAATTAATAACCCTACTGACGATACTGCTGCGATATATATCAAGCCTTGTGAATTTCACGTAATGTACAATTGTCGATAGAAAAGCACCGTATGCAAAAATACTAAACTGGCTCATTACATGTAATCAGCGTACATCTTTGTTTCTTGATACCCCTCTAGAACACTTTTTGTGTGGCTGGGTTGCACTCAACATGCAATTATTCGAAGCTTAATGCAGAAAATCTTCTATGAAGCCCTGGACGTTAAGCAAAGAATAAATAGAGATATTCCATGAATAATTTACTGTTAGTTTTATGGTTGCATATTTCCTTGAAGATTTGGTCTCTCGTCTTTATGGCATGTTCCTCACTATTAAACCCAGCCGAAGCATCTGCTTTGGCTGGGTTTAGTAGTGAAATGCTTTGAATAGAAAGGAACAGAAATGATGCTTTTACGTTAAAGCGGGTAATTCTCCATACGATGTTCCTCTGCGCGTCCAAGGCCACCAAGGAAGATCATTACATCTGAGATTGGAGCAAGGAGCAGCAGGCCAGCGGTCTTCAAATGCTAAGTTGAGATTCGCCGAAAATGATAAGGACGAGAGGAGTCGCCAGTTCGCAACCGATATACTTGGAAGAATCGACTCGTGTGAATCGGCTTTGAATCAACACGGCCTATGGACAACTTAACCATAAATCAGCTATCATAATCCTTCACGCAAAGGATTATTGCGTGAAGGATCTATCAGTCACATGGATTACTGGGACTCCAGAGACCTTCTTTCTACCCACTCTGTAATCAACACCACCCTTCTAAGAGTGGTCCGTTGTGTGAATCGGTTTGAGAGAAGCTCCCACTTCCACCTCAATCAACGTCCACGTTTAAAAACATGGAATGCCCTGCGGATGCAGCTATAATATTGCTCCTGAAAGAGAAGAAAATTGGACAAGAAGAGTGAGGGTTAGAATAGAATACTAGAGAGAAGAGGCAGGAAAGTCAAGAGCTTGTGAGCTACTCCGAGTCCAGACCAAGTACTCTCGCACACCTCAGTGAACTTTAGCCACTAACTTAGCAGTCCCTTCCGTACCAACGATGTGCGTAACGGCGAGGACACAAAGGTGTTCGTATGAACGTACCCGGCCGTATGCGGAAAACGAATACGGTCGGGGTGGCTTTGTACAAAAGTCTTGTAAGGCTCCTCGCTAGAACAACCCCGACCGTATGCTCTCCGGGCTGACGGCGTATGTACACCGTTGGTGTTTCACCGTCACCGTCACCCAGTGGGTTTCGCTGTCACCGTCACCCACGGTTTCGCGTTTCGTCCGAAGAAGAGAGGCCCTGTAGCCTTTTCGTCTAGCATTTCTTTTTACGCACTCTCTCAGATTGGCGATGGCGGATCAGGCTACCTCGGAGGTGGCGATTTGTCGAATGATTTTTCCATTCAACCTGATGAGTTACGATTGTCAGGGCATTTGCGTTTGTATGGGGCCAGGGTTTTTTCTGTCGTCGCGGCTGTTAGAGATATGGCGGGGTTTCAGATTTTGCTTGGTTTCCTTCTTCCTCCCAGGGCTTTCTAAAAGCTCGATGTCAGCCTTGCACTCCGTTTCTCTCCCCGTCCCTTCCCATCACTGAACCTTCCATGCTGTTTTTCTCTTCCGTCTGGGCTATTCTCCTCGTCTTCCTCTATCCCAGCACGACATAAGCTTCGCATGTAAATACCTCCTTTTTCCTGCTATGGCTTTCGGAATCGTCTACCCGTAAGGGTTTCAGAAGAGCGCAATA